CAGGCACTTTATCATGAACAGAGGGCGGCGCATCGAAGGAGGAAACTGAATCGACTGCGGTTATGATAACATGACAGCATTTTAGAGATTATGTTAGGTAACTATCAACTTAAGCACGAAATAAATTCGATGTAGCTCTAACTATCAACTATAAACATGAAAAGGAGCTTTAAAGGACTCACTTGAAACTTGATCCTTAGAAAGAACAGTGTGTGAAGTAGCCTTCCTTCTCTTGTATATACAGGGGCAGAGCACACCACAACACATCGCAATGATTCCAGTCGCTATTATCCCAATGTGCTTCGCGGAAAGATTATTACTTGGATCTTTTGCCTTCTGTTCTTTGGATGATTCTTCCTTAAACTCCTTTTGTAGAAGCTTTCTTGCTGGCTTGTGGTGTGGGTTACCTGCCCTTACAAGTAACAGTTAACAAATTAAGGAGTATCTTCCAAGCTACAAGGGATTACAAGCAAACAAGATCATTAATTGAAAACAACCACACCAATATACTATCAGCAGATACCTGATGAGGATTCGGATTCGGATTCGGATCGACAGAGGCTCATAAAGTAGTCTTCGGCAGAGATGCAGCCGCTCGCAATGTGAAAATGGAGGGCCTTGCATAGTGAATCTAAGTCTACAACACTTCCATTAATGAGGAAACCTTCACCACCCACACTATTCGAATAGGAAATGCGATCAGCACCACAAACCCTTGATTGAATCTCATTATGCCCATAGGCAGATACATGTTGAAACTGTAGAGCTAACAATTGGCTCAATATGGTGACAATTACTCTTAATGAAATTAATCTCTCCATGTCAATCTTTGTTGATAATGATCTAAACATACTGAGGACATCGCTAGTAGTTTCAACATATGGCGACCAAAACTAAGGAAGAAACAAATGAAGATATCACAAACCCAGACCTGCCCATAAAGGACTGAGGAAATCAACCCAAAGAATTCTGCAAACTTCACGCGCAAAAACTCAATCTTCAAGAATTGTCAGGGAACTGGATTCAAGTCAGCTCCAGACTAAAACCATGATTCCATTCCTAGCTGCCGCCCATTTAAAGACTCAGTTATATTCCTTCGGTTGATTGCTCGAAGAACTGGCATTGCAATTAAGAAAATACCCACTTGCTACAGCAGAGATAGTATCGGATTCAAAGCTCTAAACTTGCAACCCTTTCCTCAAAGCTCAACGAAACCCTTCTTCGCCCACACAATCAAATCGCAGAAGATCACCAACCCACATAACGGAGGAGCTCCGTGGGGCAGCTGGAAAGAGTAAAGGATTGAGCTTTTGAGCTCGATTCCACTTCAGTCCAGAATTAGATGGCGGGCAGAGAAGAAAGAGAGGAGTTGGGAGGATAAGGAAGAGGAAGGTGGAGGGAAACTGTTGGAGAACAGCAAGAAATCGAAATGGAAATTGGGAAATAAAAGATAAAGAGAAAAATGGGGAAGTGTGAGCTAGACCGGCCTGACGTTTGTTTGTGATGAAGAAAGGAAGGGAAGAGGAAAGTGAGAGAGGATGGTGGGCTCTCAACAGTGATGTGTTCTTGCGAGTTAACCTTTTGGCCGTCTGCAATTTGTGGTTTAATTTCTTCCAAAGAGTACCAGTGTGGAGATGGCACAACTAAAACTAATCCAAATGTTGGTCCAGCAATTCTCCAAACTTGCTTAAACCAGCTTTTATATTAACTTTTCTAAATAAAATTATATGAATTTCTCCTGTCCAATTATTAAAAATCAGTTCACCCCTATAAAAAAAAAACATCGATGTTTTCACTCATATCATTTAGAGATAAATTGAGGTTGCACTAAGATGTTGTTGTATAATAGAGATCGCCGACTCAATAAGGGTGGATCACAATGAATTCGGATTCTCACTTCTTTACATTTGGGTCTTGCTGCATGGGGTTTGTAATAATGAACACGCACGATCACTTATTGAGAGCATTTACAATGTACACGAGAAGTTGTACACGGACTAACAACAAAGCAAAAACTACGGATTGTAAAAAGATGACTCGAATTAGGGTGGGAGGCTAGTCAAAGACTAGTCACTAATCATCATCCAACTTGACGCCGAGACATCTGTGTAGCTTCCCTTCTTACATATAGAGTTACCAGTTACGAGACATCAATACGTCAGTCTCATCCTTTTCGTAAAAAACTAAAAGTTATTACCTTTAAGGAACAGAAACTCTCCACATATCATATGCATTAAGAGTTTAATTGTTTTTAGTTAATTATTTAACCTTTTTATGATTATCCTTCTTTTTTCATCATGATATTAGATATATTGACTCTTGTCTTGTTCAACCCTATTTGAAGGTTCTTTCCTCTTTCGAATGAATATTAACTTAAATTTTAATAACTCTTGTGAGTGGAAGAACAAAGCCTAAGAATCTAGTGGACCATAATCTAATAATATAACCAAAAGAAAACATGATTGTAATGACAAGAAATCAGTCGCATAAATTGACAAGATACCAATCCTAATGTGAACCTAATATCACGTATCCTTGAATGATTTCCTCCCATCAAACTACTTAATCTTAAACAATGTTAAAAGCTCATTTCATCAGCGATTCGACTATTTATCGACTATCGCGTTTGATTGGGCAATACTCTATAGTATCTATTCAATCTACAATCTATAACGACAAAAAAAAAAAACAATATTAAAAATATCAAAATACTTTCATATTAGAATCAAGCCATGTACTATTCTCTCGAATTTGGCCATATCGACATCAACGGCTCACCTTCACATGCATTCCTCCTGTCTATTTTATTATTAGAGGATATATTTGAAAGATTATCGAGTTGTATCATATCACCAATCATGTCATAAAAAGTAAATACCCCGTGATTATGCAACGCTAGACAACTACATCGTGTAGTAAGAGTTAACGGACTATATCTCGTTTGCTTTATCGTACATACAATTTTTTTTTACGTAGAAAAACTAGATTAATTATGATATACAAATTGACATATATTTTGGTGGAAAATATTAAATGACGTGTTTTTTTTTATCACGTTATACCGTGATATGTCATGGTGAAGCTGGAGATTATACCATGGTGAAAGAAAGTGGTGAGAATTTGCCATGATATACCATGTTGATGCAAAAAGGATTAGATTGGTCATTCTCTATAAAATTACATTCATTTTGATATTATATCGTATAAAGCTAGTTGAATGAATTGTTTTAATTTATCAACGATCTTGCAACGGTATACTATCGATTGGACATAGATAACCATTTTAAGATCATAGATAACCAGTTGATGAGTAAAACAATAAAAATTTGCTATTAGAATATAAAAAAAATTACAATTGTGCAAATTTTTTTACGTTGCTAAGAAATACATTATACTTTATTAAAAACTAATTGTTAGTTTATTACTAATGATATCTTATTATCACAAGAAACAAAAACAAAAAAAAACAAATGACTTATTTTAAAACATCCTTATGTGGATGTTTAAAACCGATTCGAGGCTGACATGAAATGAGTCGAAATCTCGAACCCCTTTAATATATTTTAAGATTTAAGACGAAGGTGATGGCGAGGGTGTTCCGTCATCCCTGGCCGTCGGGGCGGAGGCCGGAGCTCCGCTCGGGGACCCGGAAAACCCGCCGGTGAGGACGTCGGCGGGGATGACATCGTCCAGGGTAGCCGATCCGAAGTCGCTGCCCAGCCCGGGTTTGTTGTCGCCGTCGCGCTGCGATGATGCCGCCACCACCAGCAGAGCCGCCACGGCCGCGATCAGCCACACTTTGCTCCACTTGCCTTCCATTTTTATTTCTTCTTTCTTCTTCTTTTAGCTTATTGTTTTGCTTTGGGTGAGTGAGTGCTGGATGGATGAGTTTCTATTGCTTCAATGTTTTGATGGATGCTCTTCTTTTTTTCCTTTTGGTTTTATAGATGGAATTGAAGGAAAGTTTGTTCGTAGAGCAATGGCGTGCGATGAAGGCGGGGGCTGGTTTGCCAATTTTAGCAGTGAAAATGCTTGGTTGTGAATCAGTCACGTTTTTTTAGAAAAATTGGGAAATTCAATTCAAACCTTAACCTCGCTAACCGTTTTTTAAATTGAGATCGAAATGTATAGTGCACGAGTTTATAAATTTGACTTAATATAAAGTTCAAAACTATTATTTATTATTTATGGGAGGTTGAGCTTGACAGCAAGTTGGTGCATTTAACGGATTATATATATCTCGTTTGCTTTATCGCATATTCGAACTTTTTACGTACAAAAACTAAATTACTTATGATACATAAATTGACACATACTTTGGCATTTTGGAGGAAAATATTAAATGAAGTGTTTTTTTTTCAATACATTATGATATGTCACGATGGTGCTGAAGATTAATACCACGGTGCAAGAAAGTGGTAATTAAGAATTTGTCATGATATACCATGTTGATACAAAAGGATTCGATTGGTCATAATCTACAAAATTATATTTATTTTGATATATTTTGAAGAAGAAAATATGAATCGAAGGTTATTTGACATATCATACATAATATACCATGGAGATAGAGAAGATTATAACATGGTGGCTGATAGCAAATTGGATCAATTTATGTTTGACTGGGGTGATGACCAATTTGGTTCTACACATCCATTTGTTATACACAAATGGATAATCATGATTATAAACCCTACCCTAAACCCATAAGTTTTGATCGTGAAATCTTCACTTCATTAATATAATTGATTTTAGGTTAAAAGTAAGATAAATTCGAAGTGAGCCTTATATTAACAACACTAATATTATGATTACAAATGTATTAACATAAAACATTAGCAATGGAGAACATTTTAATCACGATTCACGACTTACAAATTACAATATAATAATTACTCGGCCAAATGGGCCATCAGCCCATGGGCCTTAACTCTTAGCCCGTTTTTCTCATCTGTGGGCTTACGATTCTGCACTCCTTCGATCCAAAATGATCTGACAGACGCAAATTAACCGCGCTTGTTAAGCTAAATCACACTCCAGAAGCGCAATTTAGCACAGATCCCAACCTTCGGGAAGATCAGAAGAAGAAGTCCGCCATTTCCCAATTCAGAGCTCTGAACTTCACGGCGCTCGCTTGCTCCGACGACGGCGATAGTCTCCAATTTCACAGGAAGGAGAAATTCTGCGATTTCCAGTCCGCCGGAATGGTGAGTCTTGAAACTCTCGCTGATCTTCTCGTTTCTTTCCATTTCCATTCATCGCATCTGTTTGGTTTCCGAGAAACTGGAAATACGACATCACAATTCAATTGATCGGGTCGGTTTTCGAGCATTGGCTCTCTAGTTTTCTTTATAGTTTCGCGAGCTAGGTTTTAAGTGCTGCAGTAATTTATGCAGGCGAGTTCGCTGAGGCTGTATTTGACGTGCATTAGGAACACCCTAGAGGCGGCCATGTGCCTACAGGTACTGTTTAGGAATCAAGCTCTCTGTGTTCATAACTATGTGGGAACGACAGCAATGGAAGAACTTGATTTTGGAGTTTGACGGTGTGTTTGGTTGAATTGCAGAATTTCCCTTGTCAAGAAGTCGAGAGGCATAACAAGCCAGAGGTTGAACTAAAGTACTGTTTGTTTGCTTCTTTTTCTTTTCCCCCTTCTGTTATTGTGTGAAGTTTTTTCTTTTCTTTTAAATTTCTGCTGCAATGCACATGGAATTGGTTATGGAGGGGAAAGAACAATGAAGGATTCAATGTTGTCATGCGACACTAGGAATTGATCTTCTTAGAGTAACTGTCTCAAAAATGAATTGACGTAATCCTCGTTGATAGATTAGTTGGTTGGTTGTTTATATGATTGGGATCAAAGCACTTTTTAGCATAGATGTTGATTAGTTCTTTTGTATGTTACAGGACAAGCTCTGAACTTCTGCTGAATCCTGTAAGGTTCTTGTTCTCGCAATGTACGATGCTGGGGCATGAGATGTTACACGCCCCTCTAAACATACTTTATGCGATGAATGTGTCATTTACCATTGCAGGTTTTGATATGTCGAAATGAGGCTGAAAGATGCTTAATAGAAACATCGATCAATTCATTGCGACTAAGCCTTAAGGTAAAGCAAAGGTCCATTGTGCTGTCCTTGTGCGTATCGGGCAGTAGAAATATTTGTTTTACATTCAAGGCAACGCTTACTTGTGTGTGTTTTTGGTTAGTGATAATACTACTTCATGAACTTGATTTCAAATTGGTGGTAAATGAAAACTGTAATAAGCTGCATTTTTTGTAAGTTAGCTCGGTAATAATAGTTTTGGGCTCTTATGCCCTTTTTCACCATGGACAGGTAAAGCAGGCTGATGAACTTGAAAACATACTGACGAAGAAGTTCCTTCGATTTTTGTCAATTAGGGCAGAAGCATTTCAAGTGCTGAGGCGAAAGCCGATACAGGTGAGGGAATTCTCATTTGCAGATTGAGAACTGCTATAAGCATTTGCCTAGATAGTTGATAACATACTGACTCCGTGTTTTCTATTTTTCCCCCCATTTTGGTACCTCACAGGGTTATGATATAAGCTTTCTTGTTACAAACTACAATTGTGAGGAAATGCAGAAGCAAAAGCTCATAGATTTCATTGTGCAATTCATGGAGGTAATCAATTAACCTCAGCCTTGTCTATGTCTGGTCTTGCTCAATTGGTTAGTTAATCCTGAGTATAATTATCTTGATGCTGAGGGCTGTCTTGCCTTGCTTTCCTAGTTACTCGGGAAAAGGTTCTGTCAAATCTGCATTACTTACTTACCTTTCCTCTCTATCTCTCAATTTTCACCACAAGTTTAGTAACAAGTACAGACACAATGGCCTACCATTTGAGTTTCTTTAATGTCCTCTGGCATCTTTCAGTCATACCCCATCACATCTTGAACAAGTTTCTAACTTTACGAGCTAACTGGATAACTGACACTTTCTTCAGTATTTCAATACTGGCACATGCTGTCCTCTAAAAATGCAGAGTTATAATTGATCTTATTCCACTATGGATCCGTGCCTGACAATATTTACAAACTACCATGCCTGTCCCGTCCGTTTGATATAGTGCACTATTCACAGATCATTATTCTTATATCTTACACCATCCGAGCCCTTCTGATCCTTCTTGCTTCACCTGAGAACATAACCACCTTCTCATTTTTTTCTTCCTTTTCAAACTGCAGGATATTGACAAGGAGATCAGTGACCTGAAAATGTCGGTGAACACCAGAGGGAGGCTTGTAGCTACAGAGTTCCTGAAGCAGTTCCTTTGATCATTACCGAATTCCTTGTTCTGGATTGCACCGCCGCCATTCAACTTGATCCTCACAAGCATGTGGCCTCGTTCAAACTCAGATTCAATCCGGTAAAATCAGTAAATCCAGAACCGCGATATAAATTTTTCCCATGCTCTATATCTCGAGAATCATGTAACCTAGGATCAGAAGCATGTAATTAATTGAAGGAGAGTAGACGATTTTTTTTTTTTTTATTACTGTGTTTGGATCTCTCTGATCAACCAAATCATGTTAGTTTGAGAAGTGCTGGGACATTGAATCCGGTCTCTTTGTTCAACCTTCCTTTTTTGTTGGATGTCCTGATGAATCAACATCATTTGGAACTGATATCACGAGTTGAAAAGGATACTTACGTATTCAGTTGTGTCCATCGCCGCAGATTAGCCTCTTCTTTCCTGCTTTGCACTGTGGAATCACAGGAAATATGTGTGTTGTTTTTGCCCCAGATTGAATGTATAACTGATGCAGATTTTCAGTAGAGCTTAGGTTCTTTGGTTATGTAAATGAATAACGATAAGCCTGATTTTGTTTTGTTTTTCGCTTGTAGGGTTCATGCGCCTTATTTATAATGGATGTGATCCATTGTTTGCAAGGACTAGGGGAGTTCATGAGTAGTAATTAGTGGTGTCCATTCGGGTTCTGTTTTTCAGGTTTACCAGAAACCGATCCGATTAGATACATTTTCGGTTTTTCGGGTTTTTTGGTTTCGGGTTCGGGTTCGGTTTTGCTTATCGGTTTTTCGGGTTCTGGCTGAAAACCTCCGAGGAATAGAACTCAACCTGTATTCTTAGGCGTTCGGGTTTTGGGTAACCGGAAATCGAAAATCCTTATCGGGTTCGGGTTTCAGTGATTTCAGTTTTGAGTTTTTTTCGGGTTTTGGTTCGGGTAACCGAACTCGACCCGAACTGACACCCCTAGTAGTAATTAAGTGATTAGGTCCTTCTACTAGAGGAGTATTGAATGACTATATGCTTGAACAAAGAATTTGGCTTTTTTGTCCAACGATATATCATATATCCTATTTGTGATCGTACCGGCTGTGTTTAGGGTTCGTGTGCCTTCACCGAACCATAAACCATTATAAACCGAAATCTGATGTAACCAATTGTCCAATCCAAAATCGAAACCATTAAAAGCTTATTGGTTTCTGTCAGATTTAGCCGAAAAAATCAAAATCGAACTTTTGATTGCGTTAAGGCTTATCCGTTTTTATCATCTTATTAATTATTTTCGATTTTAACCAGAAAATTTAACAGTTTATCGGTCTTTACCCGTTAAGGGACACCAATAAACCTATAAAACCATCTCGGTTTCGATTCAAACCGAAAAATGAAAATAAGCCGACACCCCTGATCAGCAGCACATCACAGCTAACCTTAATCCAACAGTCAAGTCGTTCAATTGCATGAAGACATGGTGGTGGGTACATGCCACCTTGATTGGGACTAGCTTCCATGGTTGGTTTTCTTTTTTTCAACTAACCATCATCAAATTTTTATCATATTGTCTACTTTTCTTGTGGTTCTATGATTCTTAGGAGTTTAATAATCAATATTTTTTTTTCATTTTTTGGTTCTAATTTGGTTGATGATTGGTCCAAATGTATGATCAGGTTAGCAGCTTGGACCCTTTCTAGTACACAATAATAATGGTGAAAGGTTGGTTCATGTCGAATGTCTAGACAAATTATGTGTGAGTTGTCACATATTGAATTGTAATGTAATTTTTTTTGTTGTTGTTGATAATATTGTATTGTTATGTACCCCAATTATTCGTTTTTTTTTTCCATTATTTAATTAACTCCAAAAGGAAACCCACTGGAGAGCACCACGTGTACTGCTGATTGCTGTTTTAACTGTTAAATATTCCCCCTTTTGTTTCCTTCTCCTTTTGTAAAGGGAAAAAGAGATTACACCTGAGACGTGACATGATCTTTCTGGGAAAATCCTCCTCCTGGGTGTTTTATGGCAATTTCTGATTTGTAATTTTTGTTAGGTTAATCATGATGATTTGTCGTAATTAATTATGTGTTGAAGCAGAGTTTTCAACTCAACTCTTTTGTGAAGGAAATGGAGACGTGAAGAATTTTCACTCTTTTGCTTGTCTAGTTGAACTTGGAATCCTTAGATAGCATTGAGAGCATATGATTGATGATGCTAGCGGGGTCTTGATTTGAACGTTGTTTGTACATTTCTTCAAGTGTTAGGCAAAATTTTTGTATCATGTCTTGATCTATATTTGAAGAATCGGAATTATACGAGGCGTTAGTACAGTGCCTTATATAAAGGTGTCAAATACAAAATACGTTTGGTTTGTCTAAAAGCGGACAATTATCCCACATTGGAGCGTCTGATTTCAACAAGTAGTATCGAAATATGATTTTCAAGTTTGGTGATGGTGCAACAGACTTTAGTTGTGTGAACTCTCGTTCTGTGATCTCGAGATTTGAGATATGCATCTATATGAAAGATCAAACGTAAATTTACATATGAGAATTCCATGGGTCGATAAAAAAAAATCTGTCAAATCAATATAACCAGGAGAGGGATTTCCCATAAAGTCAGTGATTTTTAACTCGAGAGAACAATTCAAGTATTACATGAAAATTAGACCTTTTGAAAAGGTATCTAATAACAAATTTATGCGAAGACTTGATGCAAAGTGAAGAATATAGTACTAATGAGTAGCGTCTAATTTTACACTCAAGTTTGTGTGAAGTCTTCTTCTCAAAACTGAAATCAAAGATGTGACACTAAAAGGGGAAATAGTAATTTTATCCTTTGCATTTTTTTTTTGTTAAATGAAATTCGGGCCACATATTTATATATTTATCTATCTAAAATGGTACTTAAGATAAGTTTTGTCATGGGTCCAAAATTCAAGTGACGTTTAAATATATCCCTAATAACTACTTGTTTTGGAACCATATATATTATTGTGCGACATGACTACTACTAGAAGAATATTCTCTAAAAGTTTATTATTATTTTATTGTTTAAATTAATACCTAGATGTTATTTTGCATTAAAAAAAAACGAATGTTTCAGTTGAAATTTATATAATGCAGAGCTAATTTTACTTTTAATAAAATTTCTAAATCCAAAATATTATACGAATTTAATAGCGTTAGACTTGACTCTAATCAACCCTTTCACAAAAATTTCATCAAGACACCCTTGCATCCTCTCTTCTCCCTTGTATTTATTTAAAAAAAATTAAATACATTTGGAATTATTTTTTTAATTTCACAACCATCACAATAGACCCATAATTTCAATCATTTAAAAAAATTATGGTTTATGAGGCAAGTTAATAATTCCTTGCATAATGTTTTCCCAAAAAATAAAATTATCATTACAATACATACAACTTTCTCGAATCAAATTCACTTGAACTTCTCCTATACATGACACGTTGACCAATATTCCTCTATGGTTGTCACGACTTATTTAAATATGTAACATTGTTTAATGAACTATGAATTCATAATCCGCCGGTCTCAGTGATGCAACCTAATGATCGAATGTTCGAACTCTTTGCTAAAGCTTTTTTTTTCCCTTTCCTTTATTGTACACTTACAACTATCTTTGTATAACAATCTGAAAGGAAATAAAATTAATTACATTCTGTATATGTAAGGGAAAAAATATATGGTTCGAAATAGATGTTGGAAAATAGAAAGATAAGGGGAAGAAAAACAGGAGAAAAAACAAATAAAGAAATAAAAGCGAAAAATTGCACAAGAAAAAAAGAGTTTTCAACTTTCAAGGCAGCTATGGCAAGTATAAAAAAGCCGCTCTCTGTTTTCATTCCGATTTCCACTCTCTTCTACTCCTTTCCTCTCTCTCTGTCTCTCTCTCTCCATTCTCTCATTCAATGATATTTAACCACAGTCCACTTTCTCCAACACCCTGACGAAGAAACTGGAAATTAGGGGACTGTGGTGAATTCTGGGGGAATCTAGGGGTCTGCAACAATGGCGGGGAACGACTGGATAAACAGTTACCTGGAAGCAATTCTCGACGTGGGTCCTGGACTAGACGACGCCAAATCGTCTCTGCTGTTGAGGGAGCGAGGCAGGTTCAGTCCAACTCGCTATTTCGTCGAGGAAGTCATCACTGGGTTCGATGAGACCGATCTTCATCGCTCTTGGGTCAAGGTGAGTAAAAGCAGTGATGATGGTTACTCTGCTTGTTTGGTTTTCCCGATTTGGAGATTAGATATTTGGCGTTCTTGAATCGGGGTTCCTTTCGCTTTGTTGATTTCGTGATATTGGGGTGATATCGTGTGGATTGAAAGGCTCAAGCGACGAGGAGTCCACAGGAAAGGAACACGAGATTGGAGAATATGTGCTGGAGGATTTGGAACTTGGCTCGTCAGAAGAAGCAGGTTTGTTCTTGGTTTTATCTCAGCTTTCTTGGCATTTGATTTCTGTGTTTGATACGGTGTTTATGTGGAATTGTGATGTCCGTTTGGCTGAATGTTTGACTGCTGTTCTGATTCAGGGTGATGATCTGTTTTTTCCTTCATTTTGGGATAGATGAATTGATTGGAGTCGAACATGTATTGCATTTCTGGATTTCAATGTGATTTGTTGTTGACTTGCTGGATTTACTGGAACTTTTAAGTTGATAAAGTGTCAAATGGGTTCTCGCCATCTTTTGATTGTGAACAGTAGTATGCAACTCTAGCATGCTTCTATGCATGTATGTGGTTTACTAAAGCGGAATATAGAGTTGATCGACAAACTGATGAAATGATAAATATAGAGCTGATCGACAAACTGGAATTTTGTAGCTTGAGGGAGAGCTAGCTCAGACAAATGCTAAGCGACATATTGAACGTGAAAGGGGCCGCAGGGAAGCAACTGCTGATATGTCAGAAGACTTGTCAGAGGGTGAAAAGGGAGATGCCCCTAGTGATCTATCAACCCATGGTGACAGTAACAGGGGAAGACTGCCCAGGATTAACTCTGCTGATGCTATGGAAGCATGGGCCAGCCAGCAGAAAGGGAAAAAGCTGTACATTGTACTGATAAGGCATGAACTCAACTTTAGGCTTTTGGTGTTTAATTATTATAATGTATATCAATTTGATCAGTATACGTGATAGAACTTAGTATATCCCAATGAATAGTCTGATTCTTTATTCTTCTATTCTATGTTTCTTGTGCTGCTGGGAATTGTTACTGAATTCAAATCGTATGGAAGTCTCTTGAGCATTTCCTTTGTGATGTGAAGCTGCACTTTAGGACTTGCTTTTCATATAACCATTTGCTGTTTGTAACGAGTAGAATGCATGCAGCCTCCATGGACTAATACGAGGAGAAAGTATGGAGCTTGGACGTGATTCAGATACTGGTGGTCAGGTATTTATGCTTGCTGTCTCCAGGTCTCATTACTTTTATCAATTTCTATGCAAGAGTTTTTGAAGTTTCCTACTTCGTCTGTCATAGGTTAAGTATGTTGTGGAACTTGCAAGAGCTTTGGGTTCCATGCCAGGAGTGTATCGAGTAGATTTGTTAACAAGACAAGTGTCAGCTCCAGATGTAGATTGGAGTTACGGTGAACCGACTGAGATGTTGACTCTTACAAACTTGGAAGATGATGAAGATGAGATGGGGGAGAGCAGTGGTGCCTATATAGTCCGGATACCGTTTGGACCAAAGGACAAGTATATTGAGAAAGAACTGTTGTGGCCTCACATCCCGGAATTTGTTGATGGTGCGCTGAACCATGTAATCCAGATGTCCAAAGTCCTAGGTGAACAAGTTGGTGGGGGGAAACCTGTTTGGCCAGTTGCCATCCATGGCCACTATGCTGATGCTGGTGACTCTGCAGCTCTTTTATCCGGTGCTCTAAATGTGCCAATGCTTTTTACTGGCCACTCACTTGGGCGGGATAAGTTGGACCAACTACTGAAACAAGGTCGACTTTCGAGAGAAGAAATAAACTCCACATACAAAATAATGCGTAGGATTGAGGCCGAGGAACTTGCGCTTGATGCATCTGAGATTGTCATAACAAGCACTAGACAAGAGATAGAGCAACAGTGGAGGTTGTATGATGGTTTTGATCCGGTTTTGGAGCGTAAACTGCGCGCAAGAATCAGGCGCAATGTCAGCTGTTATGGAAGGTTTATGCCTCGGATGGCTGTAAGTATTGAAACTTGCTTTTGAATACGAAAGTTCTTATATAAATAAGTATTGAAAGTTGCTTGGTTGAGGATGCTGTCCTAGGAGAAAAGGGCATACTACTCTTATTTAATTGTTAGCCAGAAACTGATTATTGTCTTTGTTTATCTGGGTTAGGCATTTGATATACAGTGTATTTTACGGAACTCTGCTAAGTTTGTCACTGCGCTGTAAGGTAGAATCTTATTTCTTATGGGTCGGCTGAGTAACCTATGAATTTGGACCGACTGTCGGACTGTCGGTGGATGAAGTTGTTACTCCAGTAATGCTTATGTCATTCTAATTCCTTGTCATGGTTATGAGCTGTCTGGTTATTCAATCTTCAGTTGCCTGTGATATTACTTTCCCGCACTAGAATTGGTTTGAACTTGGAGAAGTATCTTACTTCTTTGGTTTCCGTAACAAGCTGAAGCATGTGGATCGAATGATTCTGGCAATTAGATGAGATTGTTAAAAAGCTTAGTTTCATAACTTCAACTACCCCAATGTTGGATGGTAGTTGATACTTGAGATGTGCAGTGTTCCTGTTCTGTCGTGTCACGCCTTAAGTTTGAGCTAGTGAACAATCTTCATTTCTGTGCAGGTAATCCCTCCTGGAATGGAGTTCCACCACATTGTCCCTCACGATGGTGATATTGAGGGCGAAGCCGAAGGAAATGATGACCATCCTACTTCTCCTGAACCACCAATATGGCCTGAGGTTCTTTCTTGTTCTACCTGGTCCTCTTGATGGGGAAGCCATTGTTTTCCTTTCCGACAAGCTGTTCCGGAACTGATTCATGTTCTCTACCTTGGGCAGATAATGCGCTTTTTCACCAATCCTCGCAAGCCAATGATCCTTGCACTTGCTCGGGCAGACCCCAAGAAGAATATCACAACTTTGGTCAAGGCATTTGGAGAATGCCGCCCCCTGAGGGAGCTTGCTAATCTGGTATGACGTTTCGTACAATTAGAGGAGATTTATTCTTATCTGGCGTCATTCACTTTCAAGTGCCTTACCGTGTATTCTCTTCACCTCCGCCTCTTCTCTTATATGAACTTTAGACTCTAATCATGGGGAATAGAGATGAAATCGATGAAATGCCAAGTACAAATGCCTCCGTACTCCTTTCAGTGCTTAAGCTCATTGACAAATATGATTTATATGGGCAAGTGGCATATCCTAAGCATCACAAACAAGCTGATGTTCCAGATATATATCGCCTAGCTGCAAAAACTAAGGTATGTTATCTCATGTATACCACATGTTAAACTCAAGTGATTGAATAGTCAGATTCATGATTAGTGAAAATTGGAAAGAAAATTTTCTTTGCTGAGCTGTCAGACTAATTATTTTTTAGTGAGTTGGATTGATTGACCATCTCCTAAGTCTGTGAATGGAGTGTAAATTTGTGAATGAAGTTTTGATATTTCATCACTAAGCTTATCATCAGATCCTATGGGCTCTACCTTATGTTCTGAAGATGGTACGTATACCTGATTACTCATTCAGATTTGAATATATGTGCAGGGCGTCTTCATCAATCCAGCTTTCATTGAGCCATTTGGGCTAACTCTGATCGAGGTGCCCGTTCTAAACTCTTAGGAAATGTAAACTTAGGCGACCCCATGGATCAAAGCCAATTTAAACTCATTTTTTTTTCTTTTGGCGGGTGACAGGCCGCAGCATATGGCTTGCCGATGGTTGCTACAAAAAATGGTGGCCCTGTGGACATTCATAGGGTATGGCGGTTCACAATATAACTTCGTTTTTTTCATGTACCCGTATTTCCAAGCATTATCATATAGTAGAGTTTATGTTTTGTTACATAATATCTGAGTACATATTTTGTGTATTTTTCCTTAGGTACTAGACAATGGACTTCTTATTGACCCACATGATCAACAATCAATTGCAAATGCGCTTCTGAAGCTAGTAGCTGACAAGCAGCTTTGGGCAAAATGCCGGCAAAATGGTTTGAAAAACATACACCTCTTTTCATGGCCAGAGCATTGTAAAACCTACTTGTCACGGATAGCTGCTTGCAAGCCAAGGCACCCACAGTGGCAGCAAACCGACGATGGAGGTGACACATCAGACCTAGATTCACCTGGCGATTCATTGAGGGACATACATGACATTTCCTTGAACTTGAAGTTCTCAATGGATGGAGATAAAGGGGCTTCAGGAAATGACAGTTATCTCGACTCTGAAGGAAACCTTGGCGATGGTAACAAGAGCAAACTCGAGCATGCGGTGATGGCTTGGTCGAGGGGCGTCTCGAAGGAATCTCGTAAATCCGACAGAGGTGAACAATCCCAGGGCTCGGTTTTTCCTGCACTGAGGAGGAGGAAGCATATCTTTGTCATTGCGTTGGATTGTGATGACATCAATTCTCTGGTTGAAGCCATTAGGAAGATATTTGCCTCTCTGGAAAAGGAAACCACCCAAGGCTTAATCGGGTTCATACTGTCGACGTCATTGACAATAACCGAGATAGAGTCGTTTCTTGCTTCTGGAGGGTTTAACCCGAGTGACTTTGATGCTTTTATCTGCAACAGTGGTAGTGAACTCTATTACTCGGCCCCCGGTGCAGAAGATGGTCCATTTGTGGTTGACTTCTATTACCATTCTCATATTGAGTACCGTTGGGGTGGAGAAGGGCTCAGGAAGACTTTAGTACGCTGGGCATCTTCTGTTGTGGATAAGAAGACTGGTAGTGAGGAGCATATTGTCATTCCTTCTGAACAACTTTCGACCAACTATTGCTATGCCTTTAAATTGCAGAGCCAAAAGCCAGGATTGGTAAAATCTTCTGTCCACTCGTCTCGTATTACTAACTTGCCACCTTTGCCACTCTACAGATTTCCTTTGTTCCTGTGCAGGTTCCACCGGTCAAGGAACTTCGTAAGGCACTGAGAATTCAGGCGCTTCGGTGCCATGTGGTCTACTGCCAAAACGGAAGCAGGATAAATGTAATTCCTGTGTTGGCTTCTCGATCTCAAGCCCTCAGGTACGGTTTTTCTTTCCTACCCTCGAATATCAGTCCTGAGTAGATCAATATACAGTATAGTTAGAGAAGAGAAACCTGTGTTCAAGTTTCCTTCCCCAACAGTATGATACATTCGTGGTTTACTCATGAGAGAACCGCACTGTTTTCTTTTTTCCAGGTATCTATATGTACGTTGGGGAGTCGAGTTAACAAATATGGTGGTGTTCACTGGAGAAAGCGGCGACACTGATTACGAAGGGTTGCTGGGTGGAGTTCACAAGACGGTGGTTCTGAAGGGAGTCTGCAGTTCTGCAAACAGTCAACTCCATTTGAACAGAAGTTACCCTCTCTCCGATGTCATAGCAACCGACAGTCCGAACGTCTCTTATACAGCCGAAGAATCGAGCAGCTCCGACATCCGGGATTCGTTGCAGAAGTTGGGATGCATCAAAGCATAGAACTCTGCAACAAAAACGAAACTCAGAAAGCCTGTGACTCTTTGAGCTGCCTTCTAAGACCTCAGAAATATGACCTCTTTTCATTTCAATCTCCCCCCCAATCCTGCATCCCCATTTGTTCATTTCCTTTTCTCAAGTCCAAAATCAGTCCTCTTTGTCACTCGAATCCTTAATGGGATGTTTTCCTCAGGGAAGGAAAAACCAGAGGACCTGTTTGATATCTCATCTTCTGATATATATACATGCAAATTCCTAGAACTCAGTAGGGGAACGAAACTTCTGGCATGGCTTCTCCAATAAACAGTTTCTTCTTCCTTTCCCAATTCCCATCACCATCTTTAAATTCCATCATCAAGATTTGTAGTTGGCGTCCCAACCAATTCCTTGCCTTTAACTTTCGTGTACGTAAAACTTGGGCACCTCCGAGTCCGACTTAATGCCTGGCCATGACATAAGCTGTCATGATTTCTCTTGTTTTTGTTTTCGCTGGTTACGAATTTTGCTATTTTTCTGGCGTGATTTTCGGACGAGGGTTCAACCTAGCCTTGCATCAATTCGACCTGTCTCGTTTGATCCGATTTGTGTCGGTCTATTTTAGGTGGGTCCGACTGGTCCTGTATCAATTCGACCTGTCTCGTTTTATCCGATTTGTGTCGGCCTGTTTTAGGTGGGTCCGACTGGTCCTGTAGGTGGGGCGGGGTGGACATGTGTACTCTCATCAACCCGACCTGCTCTGATCCGACCCATTCTCGACCCGTTCTTGACTAAATTACATGTAATCCTAGTCAAATTACTAAGGATTTTTCTATGATTACATCATAATTTAGCTATAATAAAGTTGTAAATTATTGAAAATCTCAATTTCTCTAATAATTTAACCACAATTATCATAATATTGTTTGTGGTACAACTTCAAGTTATACCATAAATTTTTTTTACAAAAGAATATAAACTATAACAGTAGAGCCTATCCAATATAGGTACAATTTAAATTTGTACTATCAATCTATCACATTAGATGTGCAAATAAATTGTATAAAGATAAAATCTAACCTAGAATTCTTCTTTTACTATACCCTCAAGTAACTAACTTCCGTGACTCTCATAGACGAATAACAACTTCACTCTAACCGTGCTAGTTTTGCGGCTCTCGTTTGTTTCGAGTCAAGTCCGGTAGACTACACATCTGCCAAGTAGCAACCAGAAGAGAAATTATAAGGACCTCAACATTTAACCACTATTTGTCAAAATATATATATATATATATATTGAGAGTTCGATCGGTCATCTTTTTGTAGGTGTGAGAATTTAAGAATTTCTCATCTTTTATCATTCATATCTTACGTAGCGTTACATACCTATCCATACGGTCTAAATAAATTTTTTAATTTTTTCCACGCCCATAACAAATATTGAGAAATTTCCATGTAAAAAAGATAATAAAAAATCTCAACGTATTTCACCGATAATTCCTACTGTCCCTCTTAATATATAACCTTATACACCGTAAATCAGTCAAAACATATTCACAAGAGAGTCCTCCTCCCGGCCCAACAATAATGGCGGCGGCGGAGCAAAAACCCTCTCACGTAATCCTAACCCTCATCCCAATCTTCCTCCTCCTCCTCTACGCCCTGTTCGCCGTCTCGCCCTTCCTCGACAGGAAACTCTCCGTCTCCGCCACCGTCCCAGCTGCAGCGCCGCCGCCGCTGACGACGGAGAAGATCGACGTCAGACGTAATGCTAGTGGCGGCTTGGAGAAGATTGAAGAGGAGCTGGCTAGAGCTCGGGCAGCGATCAGGGAAGCGATTCGATGCCGGAGCTATAGGTCGTATAAGGAAGAAGAGTTCGTCCCCTCCGGTCCAGTGTATAGAAACCCTACCGCTTTCCAACAGTAAGTTAATATCAAGTTTTTTCTTTTCTTTTCTTCTTCGGCTTAATGTTTTTTTTCTTCGAAATAGGTTTTGAGTGAAATCGTATCGTACTGGTTGGGTTGTACGGACTGATGAATCATCATATCAAGTGACTGTAGTATCGGTTTACGATGAATTATCGTCATTTTTTTTATCATTGATTTGATTTTATCGTTGAATTCTGCACGAGTAAACGAATCTTCCAGATGGTGTTGTGAAAATATAATATTGTAGTATCTCCGTGGTGGTTAAAACATTGAGCCGACATGAAAATAATACGAGTTTAAGATCGAATAGTACGTAGTCTCTCCTTCGGAACATAAGTTATGTTTACAGTTGTTTGGATATTGCAATGTTTTGATGAGGTATTTCGGCGGAAATAACTCAGAAAACAGAATGGAAGGTAGTGTTTTTGTCGATGAGACAATTGAAATAACCCATTGGAAGTTTTTTGGAATACCGACCCACCCCCTAGTTATTTCAAATAACTCATCTCTCAACTTCTTTTTTGGTCATCATCCCTTCTTTAAATGGTGAAAGACCACAATATTTGAATTTTTTTTATCCAAACAAGACAATTAGACCAATTACCACATTCTAAACTGAAATACCACATGAAAATGCCACATAGCAAAATAATGCATCATTTTGATTCGAGATACTGCATCCAAATGACCCTAGGTTATTTTAGTGGGTATTTCAACTATTTACTCTATCAGAGCTTACCAATACTCGTGCTGCGTAATCATAATAGCATTGAATTATGGATTTCATCATTTGACTACAAAGAGTTTTTCTTCTTCTTAAGAACCCTTCAAAACTCACTATTTTTAGGTTTGACATGGTTTATTATGACCATGGATAGGGGTGTACAACAGTTTATAACTGGTTGAATTGACATCTGAATCGGAGCAAATCAGAACGAATATAATAATGGTCCGATCCTTAATTTAAAGACGGCCTTTCTCTACCGAACTCCGATTCTCATCATGAGTTTGGATCGGATCTTACCGAACCGTTACCACACATCCCCCTAGACATAGAGATCGAGTTAGTTACTTCGAGATAACAAATTTTCCTAACCAACTCACTCTACTTTGTTGGGATTTTTCGATTTTGGGTTTCTAGGAGCCACATAGAGATGGTGAAGAGGTTCAAGATATGGACCTACAGAGAAGGCGAGAGGCCGTTGGTCCATCGGGCTCCGATGACCAACATCTACTCCATCGAGGGCCAGTTCCTCGACGAGATGGAGAGCGGGAAAAGCCCATTTAGGGCCCAAACCCCTGAAGAGGCCCATATGTTCTACATCCCCGTCAGCGTCGCTTCCATCATTCACTTCATCTACCAGCCCGTCTTGACCAAGAAGGACTACGACCGCGGCCGGCTCCACCGGATCGTCGATGACTACGTCGGAATCGTCGCCGGGAAGTACCCGTACTGGAATCGGTCTCAGGGCGCCGACCACTTCGTGGTGTCGTGTCATGATTGGGTAAAACGTTAATTCCTCTCTTTTGATTATAATGTGACCTAATTAAGAATATGCATTGATTAAATCTGTCATTAGTTATTAATATCCCCTTACACCTATTGATTACTTGCAATACAAGTTTTAACTATCGTGATGAATTTTACAATGTTTTATAGTAGCAGCGGTTTTCGCTTAATTACAAAATATTTACGGTACAAACTAAAGTTGTATATTCCACGTTATGTTACAAATTCAGTTTGTATCTCTATGTTTTCGTACAAATTCTTTGATGGTACAAACTAAAATTAGAAACTCCATGTGACAAATTATTGTTTTCAGGCACCAGACGTCTCCAAAGACAACCCGAAATTCTACTCGAAACTAATCCGGGTCCTCTGCAACGCCAACACCTCGGAAGGGTTCCGGCCCGCCCGGGACGCCTCCCTACCCGAAGTCTTCCTCGACTACGGCCGACTCGGCCCGGTCCAACCGGGCGGTTCCGACCCGTCGAACCGGACCACCCTCGCCTTCTTCTCCGGCGGGATCCACGGCCACATCCGCCGCCTCCTCTTCGAGCGCTGGCACGGCAAGGACCGCGACGTCCAGGTCATCGAGCGGCTCCCCGACCGGTCGATCTACATGGCGAGGATGGCCCGAGCCAAGTTCTGCCTGTGCCCGAGCGGCCACGAGGTGGCGAGCCCGAGGATCGTGGAGGCGATCAGCGTGGGCTGCGTCCCCGTTCTGATCTCGAGGAACTACTCGCTGCCGTTTGGCGAGGTGCTGGACTGGAGCGAGTTCACGGTGACGGTGACGGTGGAGAGGATCGGCGAGATCAAGGCGATTTTGGGAGGTGTTTCGGAGGAGAGGTACTTGGAGTTGTTTAGGAGGGTGAAGGGGGTGAGGAGGCATTTTGCGGTGAACCGGCCGGCGAGGCCGTACGACTTGCTTCACATGGTGCTTCATTCTTTGTGGTTGAGGAGGTTGAATGTTAGGTTGTAGTAATTGGGTTTGGATCACGAGCAAAGTTGCACTTGGGTGGATGATGGAAACCTTGAATCCTTCTGTCAATGAAAACCTAAAAGTTCACATATCTTCGAAATCGATTTCGGATTGTAAACCGTGAAATCGAAATGCGGATTACTTTCGTTCAGATAGATATGTTATATACTTAAAAAAAAAAAAAACAAGGGACATTCAATTGTAAGTGAACGTTTGATGAGGTAAGGAGACTAGCGGCTACATAAACGAATGATTGAACGTTCATCTTTATTGAAGAAGGAGGAGGAGAAGACAGAATGACGACGACTCAGAGTTCGAATGCATAGCACCTGTTTATGCATCACTACAGGCCGACCCCTTTTATGATGATGTTGTACAGTAGTGGTACAATGTGATACAATTTGTAATGTTATGTGATTTGCAACAATATATATTCTTTTATGTCAAAAGTTTCGTACCGATAGATTCTCGGATTCATTTTATTGTATGGTGTTGCTTGATGAAATTGGGTCAAACACGGTTATTGAAGCGGAAGCGGAAGTTGAATATGTCACGATATGCTCTTTACTATATTAATGTATATGTATCTTCTCATTTGAGCATAAGTGAATGAGTTGTGATTTATTGTACATTTCAATATCGATACAAAACCCATTTTTCGTTCATAAATGAGTTAATTAGTTTATCACGCGAACGGATCAATTTCTGACATAATTTAGCTTACCTCCCTATACTAACTATATATAGGCTTATAGCTCGTTAATTTGCTGTTAAACCTCCATATTTCACGAAGCCATTTAGGAAATACATAAGCATAACCATACTTTCAAGTTACATTCGCCTGAAATTGGTAAAATTAAAATCTCAACCCGCTCTCAACCGCCACCGTTCAGAAAACTCGGCTTGGCATTTCAACAAACAGCTTGCGGGCGACAGAAAATTTACCCATCCTGCCATTTTCACAACAGCAAAAAAAAATGTCCGCCATGCCTCGATTCCTATCCTCCCTCCGGTATAAAACCACCACCATCATGATGCCTCCCTTCCTCCATTCTCCGCACCTCAACCCGATCTCCTTCTCCTTCCTCCTCCTCGCGGTGACAGGAGGTAAAAGAA